CCTCACAAATCAATTTTTATGTATTTATTTATTTTAAATGTATTTTTATTGATTTTAGAGAGGAGAGGGGGAGAGAGAGAGAGACATTAATGATGCGAGAGAATCATTGATTGGCTGCTTCCTGCACGCCCCCTACTGGGGATGTGCCCACAACCCAGGCATGTGCCCTTGCCTGGAATCAAACCCGGGACCCTTCAGTCCGAAGGCTGATGCTAGCCACTGAGCCAAACCAGTTAGGGCCACACATCACTTTTTGGTTCTTGCCAGAAACGGACACATTTTGTCGATGTGGTGGGTCACCGGCGACCCCATCCCTTCTGAAGAAACTGGCCCTCGCAGCTCCAGCCCTCCAGGCGGCAGGAGGTCCGGGTGGGAGGGGACTGTAAGGAGGGCTACGTTCATCCGACACCTTGTTCCCTCCCCAGCAGTTGCCTTCCGTCAGTTTCCTAGTGATGAGGTCACGCACTGGATTCTGACCCAAATAAAGTTTTATTGTAACTCTTGTTACCGGAGGTTGGGAGTTCTCCATGGGCCAGACAAGCGGTGGTGGTTCAGGCCTCGCCTGTCCTCACCCTCACGGCAGTCCTATGAGGACAGCACAGAGATGTAGCCACTGCCCCTCCGGTCACACAGCTGGCAGGGGCTGCGGTGGGAATGCACACCCCGTCCCCCTGAGTCCAGGCTGACGAAGAATTGCATGGATCCACCTCAGTCCCCAAGAGCCGATCTGTGTCAAAAGGGAAAAATGCCCTCCGACCCCACCCACCCCAAAAAGGGAATATTGAAAGCAGTGAGGGTACTTTTGTTTTTGTTTTTTTTCCTTCCTGCAGAGGAAAGCTAAATTGAGCACTGAGGATTTCCTTAAACAAAAATTTAAAACATGAGTTTAATTACACAAGTAATACATTTCCGTAGCCCCGTTGGAGGAAAATCAGAAAAGAGCAAAAAGTTAAAAAGGAGACACAAAGGTCACCCCTAATGCCAGTAATCAGAGGTCATCACGGTAAGCATTTTAACGATATTCTTCCATAAACAACACAGGGTCGTGCTGTTGATAATATTTTGTAGTTTGCTTTTTCCTCACTTAGTAGACACCTTTCTATGTGAATAACGATAGATCTCATCTTTATTGGCTGCCAGTTAACGACCATATTGAATACATATGCCGGGTCATGTTCACCCACCACTCCTATCTCATTCAGAACCTGCTTTCTCCCGTGTAAAAGGGACAGCTCTGCGGGTTGTTTACAGATGAAATAAGGGAATGTGTGTGAAGCTGTTAGCACAACACCGGACAGTAAATGCTCAGCCTAATAAAACCAGCCTATACTATCCATTCATCTCATAAACAGTAATTTCTATCAGTAGTAAGTGCTAACTTTGTGCCAAGCATTGTGCTAAGGGTTTGTTTCATCCTGACACCTAACCAATGAGGTAAATACTATCAATAGTCCCATTTCTCAGATGGGAAAGTGAGTGGCCAAGTGTCCGAGTTGGCCTTTCTGGAGGCGTTTGGAGGTTATAAAACAGAGATACTACACCCGAGCTCCCCCAGTGTGGTGCATCGCATGTGTTTACATCAAACACAGAAAACTTACGGCTTGCATCATCTAGAGTTAATGGGGGAAATCTGAATTCGAGGCCCGGTTTGGGACTTTCTGGGAGATTAGGAATATTGATGACTGTAATTGAGCGCTCTGTGCCAGACACTGCCCTAAACACTGTGAACGAATTAACTCATTTAGCCCTCATAATAACTCCACGAGGCACTTGCTAAGATCATTCCCATTTCACGGATGAGGAAACTGAGGCTCAGAAACATGGAGGCGGCTCCTCAAGGGCCAGCAACACGAAGAGGCACTTGGGTCAAGGTCTGACTTTACAACCCCCAGCCCTTCCAAACAGGGCTAAAAACTGGGGGGAAGTTTCGCAAAGCCAGGTGGTTGGTGAGCCACGATCCTCAAACATCTGGTGGGGGGAGTGCTTGCTTTAAATTCAGATTCCCTGACCCCCAACCTACCACTGTCTGGTTTTGCCGGACCGTGGTGGAGCATGAAAGTCTGCATTTTGAACAGGCTTCTCGATGATTTTAAGAATCAAGTCAGCAGATGGCATTTGAAGCATCACGACGTTAAAGCACCCCAATAATAAGCCTAGACAACCTCTGCAAAGGAAGCGTTTGGGGTAAGAAAAAGACTATTAACGGTGTATCTGTTTAAAGGACATCAAGCCCAGCTGGCATGGCTCTGTGGGTGAGCTTCAACCTATGAACCAATAAAAATATATTTAAAAATAAATCAAAGGACATCAATAAGCCTACATTGCAGGTCGTACAAAGATAGGCCCCTCCTCCCCAGAGATGCCATTCCTTCGCGCTTCCCTGCAGGGCCGCTTACCCATCCGGGGGTCCCTGGAAACGAGGTACTGCGGTTCCGCCCCCATCCGCATGGGGCGCCGTTCAGCTTCATTTCGAGGGAATGGGGCCCCGCTTTTCTTTTCTGCGCTTGCGCGGCCGGGAAGCCTCACTTCCTGTCCGGGGAGCGCACCCTCGGAGCACTTCCGGCGCCAGATAGGTGAGTTGAGGCTGGAGATTCTCTCGGACTGTGAAGCCGTCCGCCGCGTATGACCCCCCACCCCCCAGCTGCCCAGCTGC